AAATGGAGTTATGTATCGATAATCTCAACAATGTTTTGGAAACTAAGAAATCATTGTTTAATGAATTTATGACTATTTCTGAGTTTTATATATCGTATCATATATTTCGTGAACTCACAAAATGTGTGAAATATTTGCACGAAAAGCATATCATTCATAGAGACCTCAAACCTGATAATGTGTTGATTTCAATGGACTATAGGATAAAATTATGTGACTTTGGTTTGGCTAAAGAGGTCCCAAATTGTGATCCGTTTCTTATGTCTAAAGCCAAACATACAGCAGATGTGGGAACTGTTTACTATATGGCACCGGAAGCCCAGACTAATGAATACAACCATTTGATAGATATTTACAGTCTATCCCTAATAGGGTCTCAAATCTTTGGTTTCGATGTAAACGATATAATCGACGGAAAGTATGAATTGGTTTTTAAAGTTTTTTTTATAAAAATATATTAATCACTTTTATTAATACGCATAATATAACTCGTATAACTCAAAATAATATTTAAATTTTAGGATTAAAACAAATATAAAATATAACAAAGATTTCAATAAACGGATGCATAAAATGAATGCAATATTGGTGTCAATGAGTGTTAATAAGTATCGCAGAAATGGTTCAACATATTGGAGGCAAAGACCCGAATGTTCGCACATTTTATCACAATTGCAGACATTTATGACAAATAAACCCATTATTGGAGACAAAGAATTCAATTCTGTATTGAATACTATTTTTGACAGAAAATGTGATATATTTTACTATCTATTTATACAAAGCAAACCGTTTTGTATAATCCATATGACTGATGGAAATATAACTAATGGTTAGATATTTATAGTTTAATATTATTTAAAAGTTCAAACCTTAGTATTTACAGTATTTATATCTCTAGATGCAACTGACATAAACGCAATTAACAAACCAATGTTTGAAATTATCAGAAAACAATTTACTGGGAAAACATGTGAAATACATGAAGTTAAACATAAAACTTCTCAACAAATATATTCGTTATATACCATATATCTAGGATTTTACTGTAAGACTTATTGTAATATACTGTGTTTGTGGTAGATTAAAATGGATTGTACATTTTTATTCTGCTTTAATACTATTTAGCATATTATCAAAGTACAATATAATATTTCATTAAATTAATGATAATCCACGCAAATACATAAAACCGCTCTCACTTTAGGTAAATGTGTCAAGTACAACCTCTGTTAGTATTCCCACAAGTTGTTGGGCACCAGGGTGAAACATTTGCCATAAATATAATGTTATGAGTAGGGAGTTTTGACAGGCTATTTTCAAATCTGAATTGTTAACTTATCTGTATGCACTTAAATAACTTTAAATAATAACATTTCAAAAATTTTTATAAAAATACTATTCAAAGAGACGTGTATGAACTTTATTTGATATAACAATTTTTAAACAGAATTATTTTTAAACAAATAAGTACTGTCTTTGACGAGAAAACACCTTAATTTGTAAAGTGTTAACACATTTAGCATAAAATGATAAATTTTTGAACTTTTATCCAATTTCTTATATCGATAGCTAAAACTGATTTAATATATCGAAACTAACTTTATATGTAAATTCTATCTAGATGAGTCTCCAAAGTACATTAAAGCATTGTCTGAATATGTGACTAAAAAGGAGTACAACTCATGGATAGAAAATAATGAGATATTCATTCAAATGAAATTGTGTTCAGACGATGAGATTGAATTAATTTGCAATGATCTTGTTCAACTGGATAAATGTATTTAGTATTTACACCAAACATAATGTTCATAATTGCCATTATAGTTTAATATAAAATTGCTCATGTTACCCAAATTCAATATAATTATTGTCATTCAAGTAAAGTATTTTCATCCAGGAAGTAATTTATTTTATTTCTTTAATTATCGATTAGTAATACCCTGGACAGGATTAATGTAAATTTAACATGAAAATATTTTAATAATTGTAATAAAATATAATAAATTAAATAATTTTTACAATAATTCTGAACTGAATAATTGATTTGAAAAAATATACTAAATAATTAATTGTATAAGGTTATTCAAAAACCAAAATTAAATCCTAAAATATACAAATGATTTTATTTATCTATTTATCTAATCGGCTTAAATAATGGGTAATCACCAAGATTAATTATACAATTTAAAACGGTGTAAATAGTGTAATTAATTACATAATTATTAATATTTTAGCAAGGGTGTGCAACATTTTAATAATTTATATCTATGGGTAGGTTTCATAATAAAACATATATTACTATAACTAGTGTACAGTTCAATGATTTTATATTTTTGTGTTAAATATTAAGTAATTTAGTGTTTATTAATATTTGAAAACAATTATATTCACAAATTATTAAAAACTGTCAAAAATTTTTAATTGATAACATTTTTAACTTGTTAATGTTTTGTTAAGAAACTTGGGAAATGAATGTGAAATATAATACATCATTATTTATCTTATTTATCTGAAACACTTGTATTGTCAAAGTGATTGCCATATGTATAGTGGAACTACACCTTAAAAATCACCGTCAATAGGTTGTCTGGACAGTGAGTAACCGCAGGGTAATGGTGTGAGTTATCAACAAACTTTATTATATAGTTTTTACAACAAAAATTCATTACAAAATTTCAGCATAGATTTAAGTATAAATGTTCATAAATTATACCTGTTTATATACATTATCACATATATTAAGTAAATCACATTCATTTCCGACATACAGAATATAGTTTGACATTAACTATAAGTTAATTATAATTTCTTCTAACATACTATCAATGGTTCCTGGTTAATTATCCAATTGTTCATGTACTTATGTGGATCCAGCACCAACCAAGTTAATGATAGCAAATATTAGTACATTATTTATTGTCCACATTTTATTAACAGTGTGCAGTATGTGTGTAGTGTAATATAAACCAGATTAAATTTAATTAAAATTATCATTAGTAATATTACAATATATAATGTAAAAATTAATTTTATTGGTTTTATTTTATACCCAATATAATATTGCACAACAGTATTTTAATGTTTTACAATGTGAATGCAATTCAGGCTTGCTAAAAAACAGGCGTTCATTGGTACTTATTTTAGCTTGGTTAATCGCATTTCGCAAGTTGCGAATCCTATCATATATTTAATGAGAATTTTATCAAAGTTTTGGGAAAATAATTGAAAAGAAATTGATAGACAAAACACGGGGAGAGTCAGGGAGTGATGCAATCATTAGCTCGGAGTTCACGTTTAACTGGCTATTAATGATCTGTTTGTTGGCCAACGGGTTATCCCATCATTTGATCGCAGTTTTATAGTCTGGCGACGACTGTTGGACCAGAGTCTGGTTGAGCCATAAGTGGCACGACTTTGATCTTATTGGTGGACAACTGGATGTGCGCTCACCGGTTGCACCGTAAGTGGCACCTGGCGTGTAACCGCACCTCTATTTAGGGAAATGTATGTTCTCTAACCGGCTTTAATATAACCGTCCAATAGATAAGGAGTCAATCAAACAGTTAACCGGTCGTCGACTCCAAGGGCTGAGTCCAATGCCGTCATCAGTCCCGCGGGGGTTTCGATCCGTACGCTCCGATCCCGGGGGTGAGCACTGCGTTACGCCACCCGAGGTCAGGCTCTTGTGGTAATAGCTGGTGTCCACATCGCTCGACCACTACTGTCCATTGGCCTAACCCTCACCACAGCGACACTCCCAGCGTGGACTCAGCCCATGGCGTGCACTCCTTTACGCTTCCACGGGTTGGGTCCAAAAGATCGGCTTCTGTGTTACCCGCGTAGGTGTGGCCGCCTTAGTGCGACCCCAACTATAGGGTTTGGGGCAGTGTGACCAGACCTTAAGTACAGTGCTGTCCACCAGAGACAGTACTAGTTTAAATTTGGAGCCAGTACACTCAGACCTTTGTTAGAAGTAAATTGCATCTAAATTTTTAATAGATTCAATAAGTGATTAGGATGCAATAAAATAATTTTCACGTATAAACCTGTAAATATTATTTCTCTGACCAAAACTAATCCCTGATAAACCTATGAAATTCATAGTATGAACCTTAGCATTGGACCCTTATAATGTTTGACAGTTCAATGTGTCAAACTTTTTTATATCACTTATATTTACAGATTTATACGTGAAAATTACTTTATAACACACTAATCATTTATTTAATCTATTAAACTTTTAGATGCAGTTTCTGTTAACAAAGGTTTGAGTGTACTGGCTCCAAAAATAAACCAGTACTGTCTCTGGTGGACAGCACTGTATATGACTTGACATTCAAGTATTTCGGGAGTTGGTCAAGTGTCAAGGCAAGGGTAATACTTGACATTATAATGACAAGTATTTATATTTTGGAGAAAATAAAGTAAATGCATTTAAAATGTCAAGAAATTATGAAATCATACCTTTCATCCAATGATTTTTGTTTATTACAATCATTGAAACTGTAAAACTAATGAAATATTTTATATAATAAACTTTGTTTACTTGTTATAAAATTTTGTTGATATTATAAATATTTTACCAGTTGTCAAAAATTTTACGCCTTGACATAAAACACATTTATTGTTAACAAAGTGCTTCATTTGAATTAATAATAAATATTTAATTGTGGTATTGATCTGACATTAAATACAATCATACAGTGAGTGCAAGTGGGCCAACAGTCAGTCATTGGGAGCCAACCCTCGATTCACTGGATTCAGTGGTTAAAAGAATTGATGACAAAACTCATGGATAAGACATTCAACTCTTATCACTGATAACCGCTGAGTTGATACCATCGCTGTTGACAATGATATCTTCATATCATATATAAGTGAATGGTTTGCGTGATTGAGACAACTCTGAAGACAAGAATCTATGAATCGATGGGTTGTCTGAGTTGTGGTCAAAACGACTCCATTTGATTATGTCTTACAAGAAGTGAATCAAATGTAATAATGGTTAATAAAATTGCCAATTATTTGTTTTAACTGAAAATGTGAAAAACTGTATCGAAACCTAAGCGTACATCACATTTACACACATTTTAAAGAAAAATGGTTACAAAATGAAGGGTTTAAGGATTGGTTGACTAAAGTGGACGACTTTACCGCAAAATGCAATCATTGTAACAAAGAGTTTACTATGAAATATGAGGGACAAACGGCTGTTAATCAACACAAAGATACGACATTTCATAAGTCAAAAGTGGATTCAATTAAAATGAGCAGAACTTTGAGTTCATTTGAGGAAAACAGTGCCAAAAGATTCAGATGAGACCGCAATCTCTGAAATATGTTTGACATATCATAACATTTCTCATCATAATAGTTACCGTTCAATGGACTGCAATATAAAACTTCTTAAAGATCTCTTTCATGATTCAAAGGTATGTCAGTCATTGCATTGCGGACGCACTAAAATGCAAGCATTGGCACCGAATATCTTGAGTCCACTATCAATTCAAAAATATTTACGACAGATTAGTGACAAAAAGTTTTCCATAGCAAGTGATGCCTCTAATAAAGGCAATATTAAATTGTTTCCCATTTGCTTTCAATATTTTGATGTCAATAATAACGGAATTATAAACTTTGTGGTCGACTTTTACGAGGACTAATGAAACTTCAGATGCAATTCATGGGAAATTAGTGAATGCCTTATCACAGAACTCTATTAATTCAAGTAATTTAATTGCATAT